TGTTATTTAATTTTCATAATTCAATTTTTATTTGACCTAAATTTAATATTTTTTTTGAACAATATCTATTTTTCTAAAATAGTAATTTCTCACAAATTATTAAGTTTTAAATGAAAAATTAAATTTTTGATCTTATTATAACGTGGGAAAATTAACAAGAGAATTTGTTAAAGAAAATCAAGCTACTTGGGTTGTGTATTGGATTACAAATATTAAAAAATACATGTTTTATTGTGTAGGGGCTCAATTGTTATGCAGAGGAAATTTGAGGACCTATTTGACGGACGTGTAAAACTTTAGGATTGCAGGCCAAAATTCACTCCCAAACGGCGTTGTTTTGCTGCTAAACCTTAAACTTTAAAATAAAAATGCCTTCTAGGGATGGATGTGTTGGACACACACATGCCTCGTGAGATTGGCTAATTCAGTGTTCAGCACAACGTAGCCCTTGTATATAAAATAATAATAATAATAAATAATCCTCAAGCTTTGAAAAATATGCCAACTATTGTACTTCTATCAGTGGACGTTATGATACCATTCATGAGTCTGTCTATTGCACTGTTAAGTTTGCAATGCATCCTACGTGGCACTTAGTTGGCAATTTCTTTATTTTTTTAAAAAATTCTCATGAAAATATTAATTTGTCTTGTAAATAAAGGGAAATGTATTCTCAATTCTCTGATTGATCAGTACGTTAATCTTTTCAGTTTGAAGATACGTTGTACATCACTAATGTTAACCATAAAAGTATAATATATAAAAAAATTTAAAGAAAAATAAAAGAGTTCAGGTTTATCTCATAATAATGCACCTTTTGTCTTAATCACACTTGATTACATTTCACTGATCACATATCTTTACAAAAGGGATATCTAACTAATTAAGACTGAAGCTAATATTTTGCAAAAGTATGAAGCAAAACTTCGAACTTCATCACTAAAGTTCAAATTTCCATTGATTTTTCTATATTAAACATTTTTAATTAACGTAATTCTTTGATATAAACAGCTAATTAACTTTAAATTTACAAATAAAACATTGTCAGATTGTACCAAAATACAAAATAAAAAACTCATACAAATCCCATAAAAAAACTTTTAAATATGAAAAAATTTTGAGAATAATATGTCAACTAATTAACGACAGTTTTAACTCATTGAAACAGAAAAAAGAAAATTATTCTAAAATACTTTTATGTGCGGCAAAACCATAAGTTAAGCCCCTGAACTGACCCCAGAATCGCTATTAAGCCCCCAACTCTAATTGAAGCATTTAAACCCCTGAACTCTGCAATAGAAGCAATTTAGCCCTTACTCTTATAGCCAACTTAACTGCTGCTAATTGTCGTTAACTGCTGTTTGGAGGACTGCCTCATGTGGCGCATCTCACTCTAACGTGGCAAGGGACTTGACATTTGATTTGTCCACTTGGATGAAAAAAAAAAAAGAAAATTATTTAGGAATAAATTTCTTATATTATTTTTTTATACAATTTTATATGTCATTTAAATAATTAAATTTTATTTATTTATAAATTTGTCAAATTTATGTTTTAAAGGTACAAATTAAGAATACAATAAATACGTTTTTTATAATAAATTTGTATTAAAAAATAAAAATTAA